AAATTAACAATTCAAAGCAATTAAAAACTAAAAATAAAGAGCGGGATAGAGGAAAGATATTACTAATGAAGCTTCAAAGTTGAGAAAATGTTGAAATTGAGAATACAAACTTTCATTAACCTACTCCAATGATTGAGTTTGACAGAAACTGGATTAATTAATTAATGAGAGTTAAGAGAGCTAACTAAGAGATAAGGATCTAATAAAAACTAAGAGAAAGAAGATCCGTAAAATAGAAACCGATCAAGGGTCACTTTTATAATCCCCAAAGTTACATAGAAAAATCCGTCAAAAAAACCGGGCCTGCATGTAGAAGCGTCCGCTCTTAGGCCGGGAGTGCCCGCTCCAACTACTCTTGTGCGCCCGTTCCTAGCTGCAGCAAAAGAGGCTGAATGTTGGAGCTCAGGGAGGAGTGCCCGCTCCTCCATAAGTGCATGGCCGCTCCTTGTAATTTAAAGGGGAGGAAGATTATGGTGCTGGTATTAGGAGCGCCCTCTCCTTAGGGGTTGCACGCCCACTCCAACTTGGTGCATGCTTCCTCAAGAAAGTCTTCATGTTCATGCTATATAATGAATTTCTCATTGCATCTACAAACACAAATACACACATTAAAAGGAATGGGGAAGCCAAAAGCTATAATCATGGACAAAAAGGAGTTGGAAGGGGGTTATAAAGGGAAGAATGACTACAAAATTGTATTAAAGATACCATGATAAGTGGACAGATAAAACACTTATAAAAAGTTACCCCAAAAAGTCTGAAAGTTACCACAAATTCAATAAAAATTACCTTGATTTACAACTATATTACTGTATATCAGATGTACATAGTATATACAAAAGTTTTTATAATATAAGTGCCTCATTATTTTTCAGGTTAATTCCTCATTGGTCTAACTATTATTATTATTATTATTATTATTATTATTATTATTATTATTATTATTATTATTATTATTATTTAATTATTTTTTCTGATTCAAATTTCCCCAAACATTTCATCTTCATTAGGCGCATGCCCAATCATAAAACTAAAACCCCAAAATATACCATGATGGTGGAAAATCCAAATCTAGAGTCCCTCTTTTCTGAAGGGGAGGCTTCTGCCCAAGCCCCTATGGCTGCCCTTGCCCAAGCCCCGGAGCAATTGCCGGCTAGTTCGGGGGGTCCTGTACACCACTGGGAGGTCCGGGACCCTTGGGAGGATCCTTCTTTTGTTCCCGACGATGCCAATGGGCGGTCAGGTGGTCCATCAGGGGAGAAAAGACTACGGAGAGGCCCCAGCACAGGCCCGAAACTCCATTTTCGGAAGATTTTGCCTGCTCTCCAAGGGCCTGAGCTCTTGGAAAACTAGAAAGATGAAATGTGCATATTTTTTCACTAAATATGCAAAACAAAATTTTACCCTAACAAAAAAACTGAATTTTCTGTAAAATCATAAAATGTGCATATATATTCAAAAAACATGCACATTCAGTACAAAAATTATGCACATAATTAAAATCCTTCTCATTTTAAGATTCTTCTTATTTGATATATATATATATATATATATATATATATATATATATATATATATATATATATATATATATACAAACACACACACACATATACATACATATGGGCATAAAAATACATTACAAAAGGGAGCCAATGAAATTGGTGTTTGAAAAGAGTAGAGTAAAAATGGCTAATTAAAGCATATTTTTTACCCAAAGTTTGAGATGTACAATTGCTTGTACGTGAAGGTCATCCACAAAGGTAAATAATATCAATAGAATTTGATTATATTTTGAATTTACACATATAAGTTAGTTGGTCATCCACTTTTAGAAAACAGCCAAATTACGACGGAAAAAATCCGTCGGAAAATCCGTTTTCGACGAAATTTCTGTCGGAACTGGTTGTCGCAACATAGTTTGTAGGAAAAATGACCTTTTCCGATGGAAAGTCCGTCGGAACAACTTGTCCGACGGAAATCAGTCCGTCGGTTTTGGCCTGAAAAAATTCGTCGGAAATTCCAAGGGAGAAAATAAAAAAATACCCACCACCGCTGCCAGCCCCATTGCAACCACGCCTAACCCACCCCATAGACGCACCGCCTTAACCCACCTATCCCAAACCTACCACCCTAACCTGAAATTCACCACCACCACAGCAATTCCCCCACCCACCACCGAAATTCACCACAACAAGCTAACCCAGATCCATCCACCTAAACCAAAACCTAACAGAACCCTAACCTAAACATAAAAAAATCCGACCAAAATAAAAACAAATAAAACATAAAAAAAACGTCCAATTTTTTTTAAAAAACCCCCCCAAAATCCGAAATTGAACAGCCACAATCATCAATTATAAAAAAAAAATCGAAAAAGGACAAATGAAATCAAAATTAAGAAAAAAAAAGAAACATACATGAATATTTGACCACACAAAACCACGAAATTAGGTTTATAAGGCCAAATTTGACCATGAAATAAAACTCTAGATCTAGAGTTTTTAAGGTCGAAATTGACGTTAAAACCTTTGTTTTCGGCATGAGAAGAAAGAAAAAGGGCGAAAATGATAATTGTTGTTGATGTTGATGTCGGTGTTGCTGGTGTTTTTGTTAATGTCGGTGGTTAGTGGTTAGAGAGAAGGAGCAGGTTAACGAGAGAAAAAGAAGAAAAGAACGAGAGAGAAGAGGAGCAGGAGAACGAGAGAGAGAATGAGCAGGAGAAGGAGTGCAAATGGGAGAAGAGGAGAAGAAGAGGAGAGAGAAGAGGAGAAGGAGAGGAAAGACAAAGGGGCGGGTGATGGATAAGAGGGGGAAATAGAACATGGGTGTTAGGGTTTCTAGAAATTTACGTTTTTTTTAATTATATTCCGCCGAAAAATTACGTCGGAAGGACGGAATAATGGGTCCGTCGGAACCAATTCGTCACTATTTATTTGTTTTCTAGTAGTGAACTACAGAGTGGCCTGGCCGGGATAGGGAGTGGTATAACGGGACAATGGATTTGAACCCTTGATTAAACCAGAAGAACAAAATATTAAATCGACATTGGTTGACTTATAATCACGTACACTTATTTTATATCATGGACTATAATTGTACCATTCCGTAGTTTAGTGCTTAATTACTTACTTGCATTTAAAGAGATCGAGGTAGTTGAAGCTTTCAACTTGCTAATTAACGACCTACAAAAGTACTTGAATACTTACTCTCTAGATTAACGTCAACGGCTCAACATCTACTTATTATTATCACATGTCATAATGCATGTTGATTTATTATACAATAACTTATTTTTATTTGTATGTCATAATGCATGTCGATTTAATTTATTTTATATATTTATTATTATTATTATTATTATTATTATTATTATTATTATTATTATTATTATTATAAATAATATGGTATGGGGGACATAATGCATGTTAACTAGGTCATTGGTGATTGAAGAATTTTGTTGCAAGCTATCTTAATTAAATGGATGATTCATAATCACCAACTCCGATTCATCATACTACGTGTTATAGATTAGATATTTTATTTTCTAATATCTATAATTAGCAATCACCGGAAATTTAGGAATAATGATATTTCATTCAGTACAAATTCTTAAATGGACCTGGTTCACACTAATTTATTGTGGACCACTAATATTAGAGAAAGTATGGTTGTTTTATTAACAAAAAAGGGTCACTATAATTTAAAAAAAGTCACTATGTTGAAATAAAAATCATTTTGGTTATATATAGGCCTAAGTGGTTATTTTTGTAGTGAAATATTTTATATACTGATCAATATGAATAATAAAGGCTACTATGCTAAAATTAGGGTAATAGCGTCGTATTTCAAGTTCACAATATTATTAAACGTTGTAGTAATTTTAATAAAGGTTACTATGTTAAAAATAAGGTTACTATGTTAAAAATAATGGTCACTATGTTCAATATAATGTCAGTTGCGTGTGTATAGACCTTTGGTCCACAATAATATTATTGTGGACCAGGTCCACGCAAGTCTTTTTGTTCATTCAGTTGGTACAAGTTATATAAATTTTAATTTGTTTTCTTCTTATTTTGGCACCACGCAAAATGTATGAATCATCAACAAATACCTACAATTTACAAGCTTCAAGGTTTTAAAAATAGATAAACACAAAATTAATGACAATTTGCTAACGTAGAATAAACTAAGTTTTATAAGCTTAATGCAATTATATATTTATATGACGCAACTCAAAAGGCCGCCTTCAAGAGCGCTACAAGTAATATTAATGAGTAACATATACTCTATGGATTTGGAGGGAAGAATGCCCACTGTTTAGTTCATAGTGTTCATGTACGGAGTACACAATAAGCTTATCATCACTTCAACATACATAAAAGTCGACTTTGTAAATATAGAACTTTTATTTAATTTAGAAAAACTATATAAATTAATCACAAGGTAAAGGGACGCGGAGTGTAAAAAAAATAAAAAATAATAAAATTAATACGTGATAATAATATCTATCGTCTAGACTCTATGTATGTTCTAGTTTATACACATGAAAAAAATAATGAGCAACAAAAATGGTGCATGAATGAAGGTGAGATCCAATTCAGAGACAAGTAGTGAGAAAAAAAATCTTTTATCAAAAAAATTATACGCAAATAAATTAAAATACCCTAGAAAAATAAATGGTACAAACAATTTGCACAGTTATATAATAATTTTACTTATAGTAGAAGTTAGAAGTCTTTTAAGACAAATTGAGAACTTAAACCTCCAAATTTGGATTATTATGATAATATGTACGGTTGTTATGTAAACAAAGTCCAAATTTTGGGTTTGACTTGTTAATATTTTAAACTTTGCGGTTTCGAAAATTGTTCTCTCTCATACGTCGTACTATATTCATTTTCATGTGAGGTTGTTGCAAATGACATTAAATTATTGAGTTAACTAAGCCTACTCGTCGCGTATATAAGGAAGCATCACTCTTACATTTTTTTCATCAAATACAACAACATTCTCCTACACAAAAATTATCTTCTTTATTCTTACTATCCTTATTTAGCTCATATTCTCTAGACTTTTAAGTTTCCTTTTCTATTTTTTTGCTTTTGAAGTGAAAAATGAAATTGAACAAAGCTGCCTTAGCCTTGGCTACTACTCTTCTAGGATTATGTTTCTTGAATACTAACGTCGATGCCTTTGTGGCTTCTGGATGGCAAAAGGCTCATGCCACTTTCTACGGTGGTAGTGATGCTTCTGGAACTATGGGTATGTTACATACTCCCTCTGTTCTTCAAATAGATTCCTACTTTTAACATTTATTCCTCATATAATAGAAATAAGTAAAAATCTAATTAAGGGGCGGAGGAAATACATTTTCATAAATTTATAATAACTTTATTGATTTAGTTATCATTTATCACTGCGGCCTATATGGACTGTATATAAAATCGAAGCAGCATAGAACTGAATTTTTATTATTGTAATGCAGGGGGAGCTTGTGGATACGGCAACTTGTACTCTACTGGTTATGGAACTAGTACTGCGGCTTTAAGTACTGCATTGTTCAACAATGGTGCGGCATGTGGGCAATGCTACAGAATCATGTGTGACTATAAGACGGATCCAACATGGTGTAGGAAGGGAGCTTCGGTAACTATTACTGCAACTAACTTCTGTCCTCCTAACTACGCATTGCCAAACAATGCCGGAGGTTGGTGTAATCCTCCTCGCCAACACTTTGACATGGCGCAACCTATCTGGGAGAAGATCGGCATTTACAGAGGTGGAATCATTCCTGTCATCTTCCAAAGGTAATTAATTACACTTGCTCTTATTAGTCTTTACTCTTTAACATATAATTTACTACAATATGATGTTCAAATATTGAATAGTTATTTCATTTTGTTACAGGGTTCCTTGCATAAAGCGAGGGGGAGTGAGATTTAGCATCAACGGAAGGGACTACTTTGAGCTTATATTGATAAGCAATGTAGGTGGAGCAGGATCCATCAAATCTGTTTCGATCAAAGGGTCGAAAACCAACTGGATGGCGATGTCTAGAAATTGGGGGGCTAACTGGCAATCATTGGCTTACCTTAATGGACAATCTCTGTCTTTCAGAGTCACTACTACTGATGGCCAAACCCAAGCTTTTAACAATGTTGTTCCTGCTAATTGGAGATTTGGTCAGACGTTTTCGAGTCGTGTACAATTCAAGTAAGCTTATGGAGCGCAGTACATGAAGTGTGCTATCAAGAGAGGCAGTGGTGTGCTCATTCTGTTTTTCACATTGAAGCAGCCCGCCAAAAGGATCAGTTTGTAATATATTAAGTGGCTTGATTAAGAAAGAAACTATTAATTATTATGTTGCTTTCTTCATATACATATACATATTCAAAGTATATCATTGTAATTTAATTTGGTTTGTTTTGTGTTGATTAGTGACAGTGAATTCATTTTCTATGAATTCAGGATCCTGTCCACCTTAATGCAATATGTTTAATGAAAATATACTATTTGGTCATTCCTCATCCTTTGTTTTACCTTTTCCTTTTGTGCTACTTTTTATGATGTGATTGATGAGTTAGTAAATCAACTTTGTATATTGTTCAATTCATGAAATTGAAACTTCTTTAAGCTTAAAGAAAAGATTGTTAATGAAAAATGAGGAATTGTGTCTTAGTACACGTTTCTTAGCTTTGTTTATAAAAGTGAGTAGTTTAATATTACGTGTGTTTGTGAAAGTAGTAAAAAGGAATTATGGATTAGAACCCACACACAATTGCGAGCACTAAAAATTTTAAAAAAAAAATGTACGTAATAACTTACAAAGTACACTGTATAAGATAGAGAAGCTAATACCTATTACTATCACTTATGATTATACTACCTCCGTTTTGTATTAGTTGCAACTTTGGAAAATTTTATATCTCACAAATAATACCCCAAAGTTGCAACTAATAAGAAACGGAGGTAGTAATATTGAATCTCTTTGAGTTTGTAAGTGCACCTAGCTTGTCTTTCTTATTTGATTGTCTAGATCTATATCTTATTCTCTAAGATTTAACAAATGCAAATAAGTATGTGTCTAATAACGTACAAAACATACAAAATTACAGAGTATGATAGTTTCATAATAATGCATGTCATTATAGCAAAATATACATTGTTTGAACTTATTTTAACCAATTAGAATTTTGGTGACAGACAGAGGTTGGTAAAAAAAAAAAAAAAGTGTATATTTTGACAATTGACTTAAAGATTTATTTTAAACTTGTATAAAATAGATTAAAATGGTTGGGTGGATGAATGCGATTCAATAGCATAGATTAAGGAACAAAATAATGACAGAAGAATTGGATTCTAACACGATAACAAATGTTTAGTTACTTGTTTTCCCTAAATAATGATCTGAATCTCCTACAGGATATACAAATTGATTGTTTAATAATTAATATTACTTCAATTGTTCTCCCTCATACATGACTATAATTTCTATTTTTAGTCACAAAATTCAAAACCAACTAAATTAAAAAAAAAAAAAATTTGTTCAATATTATTGATTCATGAAAAACATATACTATAAAACAAAATACTCCCTCTTTTTTTTTAAAAAAAAAAAAATAAATTTGCATTAGTTTGACCGACACATTTGCCGAGACGCAATATTGACCATTAATATCTTTAATATTCTATTCGTAAAATTGTAACAAAATTATATTATGAAACTAGACATTATGATTAATCTAGTGATATATTATGTAATAGCATTTCATTATTTTATAGGGGTGAAAAAATTAAGTCAACATGGTATGTGAATAGTGCAAAAATCAAAGTGATGCAGTTAAAAAAAACGGAGGAAGTATATAAATGATACAAATAAATTATTAATTTGTTTTGGTGCAAATCAAACACTTTTATGTGCATTAGGTATATAGTAAATTGGTAATACGAGTATTAGTACACATCGAATAATAAGGGTAATCAACTCAACGATATTCACTAAAAATAATTTCAATTCAGTTAAAAATAATTTCAATTACGTTTAAATAAGTTTAGTTCAATAAAATTAATTCAGATCAGTAAAAAGAATTTCAATTCAGTAAAAATCAGTAACTCTATTGAAGAAATATAATAGAATACCAGTAAAAATAATTTCAATTCAGCAAAATTTATTTAAGTTCAGTAAAAATAATTTCAGTTCAGTAAAAATAATTTAAGTTTAACAAAATTAATTTCTGCAAAAAATAAGGTGAAGTTATTTTAATGTGTATATATATATATTATCTACGTATTTGATGGTTGTTTAGGAAGATTTGATATTATTTGGTTAAGATATTTAGTTGTCAAAGATAAGATAGATAATATTGATGAGAATTGCCATAATAATTATCTTGTATGACTCTATATATATTTTGGCCAAAGAGCCGTGAATGGACATCAAGCAAATATTCTGATTAATATTTCTCATAGTTATATTTCGAATTATTACAGTAAAATTTTCAATACTCAACGTAACTTACATGTGTATGGGGAAATATTTATATAACGGTTATCATCATAGGCCGATATTGTATGACAGGCCGATATACTATTTGAATCTGGTCCATCAATAACTCTTGTTAATATCGGCATTTATGTATAAAGTATACATATCGGCATGTAAGTAGCTGACACGTGTCGTTCTCACGTTTGACACGTGGCAAAAATTATATTACTTGTTAAACTGCCACCTGTCACTTAATTAACCTATAAATAATCTGATTTTACCTCATAAATAAAGTAGCATTTATTACATTCTTTCTCTCTCTCATTACTTTCTCTCTCTAAATCATCTTCTCTATAAACACTTGCTGACTTAATCTTTGGAGCGGTTATCCCCGGATTCACCCCGGGGCTAGCTAATCTCTGTGTGTAGGTTCTTATTTGGCCGATAGGAGCAGAACGGGTTATACACTCGAGCTTCGGATCTTGGATTTGGACTATCGGATTCTTGCAGAAACAGTTGGCGCTAGAAGGAGGGGAGCTACTTAATAGCTTCTATCGCCTAAAAGAGCCTCATACCTTCCGATAAAAAAAAATGCCTAATCCAGGAGAAAAAATGCCTAATCCAGAAATTCAGATTGAGGATGAAACTCATACTTTGGAGGGTAATGAATTCCATATGCCGTTAACCCCTGAAGGGCAGACTGGGACAGATGCAGACCCTATGACAGGGTTTACATCAGAAGAGTTGGAAATGGCTGCAAGAGTAATGACCGCTATGAGTAAAAAAAGAAAAGAAATAGGGGCAACCCAAGATGGAGGAGGGATGCCTTTTACAGCTCATGACAATCAATTTAACTAGACCGGAAGTTCGCAAAGACGCCGACATGAAGGGTCACCGATAAGATCCCAGCGGACCCCTAGAGAATCAGAGGTTCAATCCTCAGGTCAAGATGAAAGTACGGGAAATTATCAGCAAGGAGCGGTGCGAAGAGTAGTTCAGTTGAGGGCATCACCATTTGCACAAAGCATCCTTGATCAACCAATGGAAAAAATCAAAATGCCGACATGTCGGTATGATGGAAGGGCAGATCCAGGTAGATACATGACCTCATATGAGGGTCACATGATTTTATATACCAATTCTGATGTCGTTTGGTGTAAAGTATTTCCCACTACTCTGGTTGGAGCAGCAGCTGATTGGTTTAATAATCTTGAAAATGGAGCAATCCACAGTTTCCAACAATTAGCCGAAATGTTCGTGGGGCAGTATGTCAGCAACAGTGTTCGGCAGAGAACTTCTGGAGAGTTAATGGCTGTTACTCAAAAGGCAGATGAATCTCTAAGGGATTATATAAGGAGGTTTAATAATGAAGCCAATACAATTCCAAGATTGCAGCAGGAGATAGCAGTCATGGCACTAATGAACGGTCTGAATGATTCAGAATTTAAAAGATACTTAACCCGAAAAAATCAGCCAACATTAGCTGCAGCTTTTAACAAAGCTCATGATTATATTAAGAGCGAGGAATTGATGAAAACAAGCAGCCGAGTTAGTTCTACCGATAGAATTCACCCGATGTCTGAAGGGGAATCTTCGGGAGTTGTAAGGCCAAGGAATCCAGCTGTAGCAAGGGGAGGAAGCCGTCAAGAGGTCAGAGGAACCAAGGAACCAATGCGATATAATTCGTATACACCTCTGAATGCACCAAGGGCTGCAATATATTCTATAAATCAAAACCGAGAAGGATGGGTGAGGCCCATGCCGATGAAAGCGAAAGGAAGGGATACCAAGAAGTATTGTATGTTCCACCGAGATGTGGGGCATTACACTGAAGACTGTGTGCAGTTGAAAGATAATATCGAGGAATTAATAAGAAGGGGGCATCTTACTCAATATCGGTTACACTCGGGGGAAAGTCAGTAACAGCAATACTGGCAACCAGAGCGCCAGCAGATAGAGTTTCGGCCAGAAAGACAAGGGCAAGTGAGCCGACAAGGTGAAGGCGGGCAACCACCGTCGTCCACTGGAAAAAGAGTTGATGTAATAACCGGTGGACCAGTTCACGGAGGGACGATAAGTGGAGCACGGAAGCACCTATCGGAACATCGGCACATTGTTAATGCACTAGATGTTGCTGATCGCCCACAACCGTCTGAAATTCGTAATGTAACCTTTACCAAGGAAGACGCAAAAGGAATATTTTTTCCTCATGATGATCCCCTCGTGTTAATAACAAAAATCAATGGAGCCGATGTGAAAAGAGTTCTAGTTGATGGAGGAAGTTCGGCAAATGTTCTGTTTATGCAAGCCTTTAATGAGTTGATGATAGGCCGACAATATTTAACGCCGGTATCTTATCCGGTGATTAGGTTTAACGGTTCGACGGTAAGGCCAGAAGGGAGTATAGTTCTCCCTATTAGGCTTGGAGATGGTATAACATCAAGAGATGCGATGGCTGAATTTTTGGTAGTGGATGTACCATCGGCGTATAATGGAATTGTGGGAAGGCCAATAATTCATGACATACAGGCAGTAGTATCAACTTACCATCTAACTATTGCTTATGTGTCGAATAGAGGGGTTGTAGAAAAGGTACATAGCGGACAGGTGATGGAAAAATCATGCTATATCACGGCACTGAAAAATCCATGGCAGAAAGGACAAGTACCAAGCAACCCGAAACGAGCAAGAGAGCCAACAGTGCGAGATTTATCAATGGAGAATTTTGACTCTAGGCCAGAAACTGTGCCGAGGCCGTCACCAGGAGGTGAGACAGTACAGGTGGAGCTCCGACCGGGGAACCCAAATAAGACAGTTAAGATTGGGGCCGATATGGATGTTGGAATGAGGTGTAATCTGATCAGCTTATTGAGAGAGAATGCAGATGTGTTTGCCTTCTCGGCAAGCGATATGCCTGGCAGACACCCGAAGGTGATGGAGCATAAGCTTAATGTAGATCAAAAGTTTAGACCGGTAAGGAAGAAGAAGCGCAACTTCTCAACAGAGAAAATCGAAGCCATTCAAGCAGAAGTCAACAAGTTGTTAACGGTAGGATTTAT